AGGGGTCTGAAATGATGGTCCTGGTCATTCATGGTGTGCAGAGGGGTCTGAAATGATGGTCCTGGTCATTCATGATGTGCAGAGGGGTCTGAAATTATCCTGGTCACTCATGATGTGCAGAGGGGTCTGAAATAATGATCCTGGCCACTCAGAATATGTAGAGGGGTCTGAAATGATCCTGGCCACTCAGAATATGTAGAGGGGTCTGAAATGATGATCCTGGTCATTCATGATGTGCAGAGGGGTCTGAAGGGTCTAAAAGTGGAAGAATCTCCTGGTCAAGGATGTTCCTGGCCACTCAGAATATGTAGAGGGATCTAAAGGGATGCTGCTGGTCACTCAGGATGTGCAGAGGGATCTGAGGGGTCTAAAAGTGGAGGAATCCTCTGGTCAAGGATGCTGCTGGTCACTCAGGATGTGCAGAGGGGTCTGAGGGGTGCTGCTGGTCACTCAAGATGTGCAGAGGGGTCTGAAGGGTCTAAAAGTGGAGGAATCTCCTGGTGAAGGATGTTCCTGGCCACTCAGAATATGTAGAGGGGTGTGAGGGGTGCTGCTGGTCACTCAGAGTGTGCAGAAGGGTGTGAGGGGTGCTGCTGGTCACTCATGATGTACAGAGGGGTGTGAGGGGTGCTGCTGGTCACTCAGGGTGTGCAGAAGGGTCTGAGGGGTGCTGCTGGTCACTCAGGGTGTGCAGAGGGGTCTGAGGGGTGCTGGTGGACACTCAGGGTGTGCAGAGGGGTCTGAGGGGTGCTGCTGGTCACTCAGGCTGTTGTGCACTCTGGGGACTGGCAGGTCACGGGGTTTCTCTATTTAGCACCCCTCTCCATGCCCAAGTTTTGAGTTTCCCTCCAGTCCTGCAGCAAAGGCTGCACCGAGTTCCTTGAGGAGCCTCATCCTGCCCTGACCCTGCGAGGTGGGGAAGGGCAGAGCCCCTCCCCTGTCCTGACCCTGACCCCGATCCCCTCCCGCAGGTCGGTGCTGCTGGGTTTCGGGGAGCCCCCCAGGGACACCTTCTCCCCCCTGGTGATCTCCATCGCCGCCGTGGCGCTGGGCACCCCGCTGGCCATGCTGCTGCTGGGCAGCTGCCTGCTGCTGCTGGCACGGAGGCGACGCTACTCCGAGTACGAGCCCATCAACTGAGGGGGCACCGAGACCCCCGGGACCCTCCCCTTCCCGTCCCAGTGTGAGCCCATCAACTGAGGGGGCACCGAGACCCCCG